TTTTTTTGTTTTTTTTTTTCAAAAAAAAGAAGAGATTTATAGAGGTTTATTTCACCGAACGATTATTATCTTTCCGGCGCTGCCAAACGCTTTCTTGGGGGAAAGCATCATTTAATAAAATCAAGATTTCGTCAAAAGATTTTCACATCAAGACCAGCGGAGGATTACTCAAAAGTTACCGAAGACGTTTCTCACAAATGTCAACAAGTCATGGCAAATAAGAGTGAATATAGAACTGAATAAAATATAATTGTAATTTTATTTTTTTGAAGAAAAATCTTAAACAATATCGGGAATTATTTATGACGCAACAAAATACATAGCTAACACCACATATATATGTTGATTTACTAAGCGGAGCTTAGCTGTGGCACAAGTCCCAAAATATGGGACACCTAATGAAGATCGAACTCACTATCCAGTCATAATTGGTCGACTGAGACACGCTTGCTAAGCATTACATGATGAAATGCCCGTGGTCAACGATAACATTACTAGCTGACTCATTTACTAATGAAAGACTAGGTTACAGGTTCTTCGAGGAAAATCACTTCTTGGTTGGGCCGAGAATTTTTCAGCGTCACCTCCTTGTAATAAACAAGATACTATTATTAATTCTAAATGACACACATAAAATTACGTCCTTAGTGTACAAGGAGTCAGACATCAAGGGGTTGATATGAAGATAAATAAAAGTGATCAATTTGTATTTATGGAGCAAACGATGAAACATTTGATATTCTTAAGTAGTAAATTGCTAATAAGTAAGAGTCTGGAACTATTGAGGAGACGATCAAATGATGTTCGAGAAAATCTATTATCAGGTATAAATAATCCTAATGTTGTTGCTACTGACTAAATAAAAGTATATTTGTGCACTTCAGACATTTGTTTCATAGTGATGATTTCAATTTTAGCATTAATTTAGTGAAACGAAAATTACTATATAACAATTATATTTTCAGTATTTTAATACTACAACTATATATATATATATATATATATATATATATATATATATATATATATATACCTAGTGAGCCAAACTAACCTACCTAGGTTTCACCAAAACTTTCATGTTTGTAGCACTTTCTTTTTTTAAAACCTTCTTTTCCCTCGCGATTGATTTGATTATTGGCAAATCAAAAATTCGTGGGTTTTTCGAAACGAGTATAGTTATCTATATTTGTATATATATATATATATATATATATATATAGTTGTAGTATTAAAATACTGAAAATATATATATATTAAGAAATGGACAAAGTCCGACAATTTATTTATTAAAGACATTTTTTATGTTTAACGTTCTTTTTATATAGATACAAGTATTTAAGTAAATGCTCTGTTTATAATAAACAGTATTAAATAACATCAAATGTCCTTGACAGGATTCGAACCTGCATCCTATACGGAAACTGTCAAAGGACGAATATTTTCTAATATATATATATATATATATATATATATATATATATATATATATATATATATATATATATATATATATATATATATATATATATATATATATATATATATATATATATATATATATATATATATATATATATATATATATATATATAGTAAAACGTTTACTTTTTTTTCCTCTTTCGGATTGGGCTTTCACTCCTTATAAAGTCTACATTCTATACATCTAACATCTCCCCCTAAAATCTGAAATTTTATTTATCAAATTTTTTCCCCAGAAGGAGTAGATAGGTTCGCTTATCGTCATGTTCTCGCCCCTCCCCGGTTTTTGAAAAGGAGTACACGTTTATCTCTTGTTTTGTTTAGGATTTGGTTTCTAAATTCTCCTTCAACTCTATACGTCTAATGTGTTCGCCTAAACTAAAAAAAAATGATTTTCTATCTTTTATTTCCTCAATAGTAGGCGATAGCGTCGCCTATCGGCCGGTTTACACTCCTCCGCGATCTTTTGAACAAGAATGCTTGTTTCCTGTTTAAGATTGTGTTTCCAGTTCATTCTAATGTCTTCTCATTCTTTTTCACTTTCAGTTTCCCCCCTTGCGTCTAAGTGACATTATCGCCGTGCTTTGAAAACAAAATAGAAACTTGCAAAGTGGGCTGCTGATTCCCCTTTTCTCTACTAATGTCAATCTAATAGCAGGCCCTGGTGACACTCAATGTAGAGAGGTACTTTCAGGCGTTGTATTAACATAAAAGTCAGGAAGTGAAGTTGATGAGATTATGCCGGAAAGTTAACAGTTAATCATAGACTTGAAACTTCCAAGATTTTAGTGATCAGTAAAACATCCTACCAGAAGTAGAGAACAGTTCTTGAAAAAAAATCTGTCCGATTGGAACTTCCTCCTTATTTATGCAATACGTAAGGAATGGAGACCAACCTTGTGCAGGCATCATGGCAGGTCTCAGTTGTAACTGTCAGGGTTGGTGGGACTAAAGAGCAGCGAGAGACTCGTGACTTTTCGTTTATAGGAAAGGGGTTGTAGATTGAGAAATCACCCACAAGACCACATAGATGCATTTGAACTTCATGAAGACAGGGAAGCGAGCAATGGCCTGCTCCAGCCCAGATATGAAGGCTATAATCCACTTTTTGGTCTGATATGTCTCTTGTAAAGATAAAGTATAACACTGCCGTAGCGGTAAAATAGACCAATCATATTTCCAGCATTTTCAGCAGTAGATCGTATATATGTTCCACTTGATGTCTTTGGAATGCTTTGGGGATTTATAAATTCTTAAACAGGCAGTAGCCGTTGTGAAGAAAAATCCTACTGAGCATGTTTCACTCGTTTCAGATGATCGCGGAGGTTCGTAACACTTATCAGCGTAGAATATAATCTCTGCTTTTGGGTGGCAGTAAGTGTAGGAGATTAAAATACCCTGAATTCAAATACTTGGAGAAATCAATATGAAATTGCTGTCTTTCTGTACATGCCATGAAAATATACTGGTAAAAAGTAACAAAGAAAATGGAGAGCCATAATCCTATACGTTTTGAAAAAAGATGATATTAGAAAAGTATCATTTGCCGTAAATGACTGGATTCAACTTGGGTGAAACCGCAATATTTTATATATGCATTTCTAAATCACCCCCATAGATTAACAATTTTTAAGTGTATTTTAGACGCAGATATGCAAATGCGACATTTTTTCTCAGGGGCAAAAACCAATATATTAGGTTGGTGCAAAAATGATGTCGTTTTTTTACGTTAACGACATTATTTTTGCACCAACCTAATAAAACCCTAAAAATTATCGATATCAATAACACCACTAGTTATAATTCAAAATCTTCACAATAATAAAATGCACAATACCGGTAAAATGTTAGAGCAATATTTATTTTACGTAGATCAACATCCAAATGGTTTTTAATCCTATGCCATCTCGATAAATTATGATTCGGTAATTCACGGACGGATGAAAAGGCACACAACCACACCACATCCTATCTCTTCCTTTTCGTTTTGTTAATATCTGATGTCAGTCTACGAATCGACACTTGCAACTTACCACGCATATCCGACCGACAGCGGGTCCTAAAAAATATTTCTTTATCTTTCCTCTGGTGATTAAACAACGAAGAATTCTTAAGGAAAATGTAAACAAAAAGAACATTAGTGCTGAAACTTCTTCGGGACATAAGGAATGAATGCCTTGAGAACTTGACACTCAGTCAATTGGATACATGACTGACGAGGCAGATTTTTTTCCTGCAGTAGGTTGCCATTTCTTTCTGCGGTAGACCAGTTGCCATCCAAGACTATAGAACCCGGTCTGTCTTGCTATTTACCCATAGCTGGTGAGAGAAGAGGAGGATTTATACCTTTCCCAAAGGTATTAGCACGTAAGTGAATGTAATGGATTCGACTGGAATTCGAACTCCAATTCCTCAATCCGAGCCGCTGTCCATTACTCCACCGTACCTCCTATTGACACTCACAGGACATATTGAAGGCAAATAAGACAGGGGTGAAGCAGTCGGACACATACCTGACCAGCTTGTGTCAATGGATGGTGGAACGAGAAGTAGGGGATTATGTAAGGAAGGATAAAACTTGCTAAGAACTAAGGGAAAGGAAATTGTGGAGAGACATGATCACACACATAGAAGAATCCATAAAATTAACTTATTCTCCAATATTTTCTAGGCATAATTTTACAGTAACACAGACAAAAAAATTCATTTATTTTATTTACATTCAAAGTAATATCTTCATCGCTGTTGTTATAATCACAATGTTTCGACCATTGTATTTTCTGGGCTTCTTCAGATTTCGGTCATTTCATGTAATCTTCAGGAAATTTCAAACTGTACTAGTTTCTTAAACTACTGTGAGAGATTTTTCTAGTTCTCCTGTTTGGAATAATGATAAATTCACATCCTACATTTGTAAAGATATCAAATATATATTCATTTACAATAAGTATTTAGAATCACAATTTTAGTAAGCTCGAAACAATTAGGTTTCAGAGAAAAAAAAAAATTAGAAAACCCATCACAATTTGTAACCTGAAAAATTAATTTGCTTTTCAAATCTTCAATAAATAAATCACAAAATACAAAATATAGCTAAAGGTAGATAATATTATCATATTATGCCCTCCAAAAAAAGTATGAACAAATATTTAAATTTCGTTTGAACCAAAGAATAGATATGTTGGACAGCTATGAAATCCTCCTATCTTGCAGAATCTTCTGAACAATTTCCTAAAAGATGAAGAAGGTCTTACTGAAGGATTCTGAGGATGCCATGAACGGAACAGGTGAACATTGAGAAAGATTTAAGGAAAGCGGGAACAAAAATACATTGAAAGTTTGACGAAAAACGTTTCACACCTAATGTTAGATAATGCCACCCAATTCTTTATACTTCTAAAATATATTTCGAGAGATATAGAGATTAGTCGAGATATAATTAGATATATTAGTAAGGACATAAATAGAAATAAAGAGAGATAATGAAATAGGAAGATAAGTTTGTATAATGAGATATATAGTTAGAAAGAAAGAAAGAAAGAAGGAAAATCGATATATTGATTAGTAGATAGATTAATAGACATAAAATTAGAAAGAAAGATAAAGAGCGAGAGAGAGACAATGAAATAGATAAGAATATGGATTAGTATTATGAGATAAATTAGGAGACATATCATGAGGCAGATAGATAAATTCGTAGAGACATAGATAGATAGATAGATAGATAGATAGATAGATAGATAGATAGATAGAAAACAGATATATAGATTAGTAGATAAATTAGTAGAGATATAATTAGAAAGAAAGAGAGAGACAATGAAATAGATAGGAAGATAGATAGATAGATAGATAGATAGATAGATAGATAGATAGATAGATAGATAGATAAAAAGACAATTTTGTAGATTAGCAGATATATTATTAGATAGATAGGTAATATAGAGAGATAGCTGAATGGAAATTGTGGACAACCATTATTATGATCATTATGATGATTTTTATTATTATTATTATTATTATTATTATTATTATTATTATTATTATTATTATTCAGCAGAAATGGTTAATCGTGCTACTGGGATTTTTGCTGCAAACTCCGGCTTAAACATAGATTATCCAATCTAATAAACAGATCATTAATAGTTTGACGAAAAACGTTTCACACCTCATGTTTGCTGCTGCCACCCCATTTTTTATACTTCTAAAATACTTTATATTAAATGTCAAGCATATCGGATTCGCGTCAATTTTCAGTAATTATAACACTAAAAAGATTAACTGGCAGTGAGTTGAACAGCAAATGTTAAAGGACTCTGTGTGGAATTCCTGTTGCATGCGTGGAACACATGAAGAAATGATTGAAGAATCTAATATTTATGGAGAAATATCTGTCAGAAAGGGAAAATTGTTCGAAATTTTTAGTTTTCTCTGAATATTTCTAATCTAAAAAATAATATTTATATCTTCATCCATTTTTTTTTCTTTGCATTCAGATGCCTTTGAAAACTAAGATAATTTTTTTTAACGCTGAGAAGATTTACAAACTGCGAGACACTCTTTCCTCTTGTAAATTGAATGCTGAGAATGGTTTTCATTTATTCTTTTGAATTTGGAATCCGTCAGAGATGTCAAAATGAAATCAGGTTGAAATTATGCATGTATTTTCTAAATCTGCCATAAAACCGTGAGAGAAAACATAGTAAGAAGACATAAATTCCGTTTTGATTTGATTTGATTTTTAAGTTAAATAAATGACAGTTTTTATTTTGCTCATTAAATTCATTGAAGAAGAGAATCTTTGATTCTCATAATTGATTCTTTGTATTGTGCAATCTTTAAAGAAATTCCAATTTCATTGTACCAGAACTTTATGCTCCTGAAGAAGGAAATGGCTTAAATGCTATTTTCAATTTTCCCGGGAATATTTTTTTTTCAATAAAGACGTTGCAATATACGACAATAAATGAAAATTCACTTGTGCAATATCTGTTGAATATGATGGATGTGTAAAAGATTTCTTGACAAGCTGTAACACTTTTTTTGTTTTGTCACCAAAACTGCTACTATGATTGATTGTTAAACCATTTCTATATCACAAATGCCCGGACGATTTCCTTGATCGGTACCTTATAATTCTAATTAATCCCGAGTGCCTAATAAAGAGGTGTTTAAAATTCGAGAGGTAGACAGAATCTTTCTTAATATGCAATAAACTGTGGGTTTTTATACATTTTGAATTCGGAAAGTAAATTAAAGTTTCGAATAGTGCAAAATTAATAAACGAAATCATTATTAATAAGTTCAGTAGTCGCTTTTACGATTTTATTTCTACGCCATATTGTTTGTTTACACCTATGCGTAGAGTTAATATATTTACTCGAGTTTCTCAGAATGAAAGTGATTTAGGAGAATGAATTTTATTTCCTAAAAATAAAAGCAAACGCCTTCTTCCATTATTTGTTACCTAAGAAAATTAAGTAATTGCTGACCGCTGGAATCCGATTAGGCCAGTCTGCTAGCCAATCCCTATTGTTGGAACGTGCTCAGGCACATTTGTATTTGTTCATGTTATGGTGAACCACACCTATTCTATAGTTAAAAGACTCTCCCACCTAATATAAGTAGGAGTGGTAAGAGAAATGAGGGTCAGTCGATGCCGGACGACCGGCTGAACGGTTGAACTCTCTGCCTTCGGGCGGGGAGGAACCCGAACGAGGCTACACCGAGGGGCGGAGTCTCGTTCGAGGAGGTAAACCGACCCTGAACCCGTTTATACGGGTTCAAAGGGCATATTTTTGGCCGAGCCCACGGGCTTGGTGATCTCACGTTAAACCGGCCTTGTGCCACATGATACCCTCGTGGCGGGGTGACTAAATACTAGTCGATGTCGGACGACGGTAGTCGACAGTTAGTCGAATACGAAAGTAGTCAGCGACCACAACAAGATTACTCTGCGTAATACCTATTATATCAAGTTCCTAACGTTTTGTACGTCGAACTATTTAGGACCGATTTAGTACAAATACAAGCCTCCACTGTGAAATAACTCCGCAACAGTTCAACACCCGCAAAACTCACATGTGGTTTATACTGCAACTATGCCTAGCGGAAGTTAGTTACAGTATCTGGGAGAAAGCACATTAACTGGAGCGATCAACTGTCTGAACTGCGCTCAAAACATCGGGCCCGATGGCTTACAACTTTCTGCTAGCGCTACCATCATCAGCTTCCTAATATTTCCGTCAATTCAGTTTTACTCACAAGTGTCGATCCTAATCTCATTATGGTCGATTTGTCAGGAAATAAACTTTTTGATGGTATCGTCTTGTAGAGGTGATCCGCAACTTGTGGCACCTTTGGGAAGTGCCTGAAAACCAAAGAAGAGGGGTAGTAATTATTCGAAGGAAGTTTTAAGTTCCCTGCAATGTGCATATCGTAGATTATTCCGTCAAAATCGTACCACATCAAAAGATTCCCGTTTTGCTGATCCGTGCGCAGTTAGCGGTGATATATCGCGTTTTCTGCGATTAATGCTCTTGTAAAAGAACCTCTTTTCATCACCTGCCAAAATTTGATTGTTTTTAGAAATGGAAAATTTAAAAGGGAGTATTTTCGCTTAAACTATGTAAACGCCACACATGAAAGCGTCTAACATTGTCAAGTTGTTTCAAATGCATTATTTAGAGAGTTTCTACATTTTATCTATCTTCGACCTTGTTTAAATTTAATTTCAAGTCATTTCTTGATCTGTTAGTTTACAGGATCTTAGCTTTCAGAGTGAACTCTCCAATACGAGACTTTACTAATTATTAGAAAGCTGAAGATCCTACAAAGTACTACTGAATTGCACAATTCTATTTTTGTATTTTACGTTTCATTTTTACTCTGTTTGAAATGTAAAACGTGCAATAATCAGAATTACGCTGATCCTTTACTGCTTCTACCAGCTAGTTGTGTTTCCATTGAGGCCTGAGCCTACTACTCAGCCCAGGGATTAGATTGACAATTACTAAGCCAACTAATTAGCGAATAAATGCTTGAATCAGGAGGCTAATATCCTGTTGGATAACAAAAAAATAAAAAGAGTTAAGAGCAGTGAAACGAGAACACTCTACCTCAGTAGATTAAAGAAAGAATATATTATCTGAGTGTCACCCGGATCGATAGAGTCATAAAAGGGCCGGGTAGCAGAAAGGCCGATACGTTGTAAGAATATCAACAAAAATGGAGAGATAACTTATACGATTAATGTAAATAGTCAGGAATGTCTTTACGTTTGCGGAACATAAAATATAGAGAATCTGATATGATCGTCATTGTCATAGAAATTCGTTTGCTAAATATTGATGCATGGCAATTCGAAAGCCACATCTGTTTGGTAATTATTCAATCTTGTTACGGCGCGCCCTGTGAGGCTCTAGTTCGCTTTGGCAAAAATCACCACTATGTTAAACATGCCTCCTGGAACAAAGACCATTATTGTTCAACAGCTTAAAAACAGATTTCTGCAACACGTAATATTTTTGTAAAGTAACCAAATATGTTTGAATAAAAAATAAGAATATTTCTATGTTCAATCCATTCTTATTACTTCTTGGCTGATCTTCTATTCGTCTTTTAGTTGCTTTTATTGCATATCCAGGCTATTTTCTACATTCATAGACCGTTACGAAAGCAGCATGAATCGGAAGATAAAATAAACAACTTCCCAATTGTATCCCTAACCTTACTTTTATGTCTTCCGGAGTGAACCATTTACCAATTAATCTTCAAAAGGTACCGATGTTTCTATCTGTTCAGATAGGATTACAATAACAGGCAAATCTATTTTCCCACGTTAAAACCCAACTCCCATTCATTCAAACAATCCAAACGTAGAAAAGATAAACACAACGTTTGAAAACGTGCCTGTACTTAATTCAGATTTTGATAATACAAACGTTATCGGTGTTCTCGAAAATACACAAGGTGTTAAACAAATCGACAAGAACATAAAGCTTCAAATACCTTGCTCAAAGAAAACAAAAATAGAAAACTTTTTGCTTGTTTTTCCTGGTTCAGTGATTTCAAAAGATGTGTAAAATGTCCGGTGAAGTACAGGCAAATTTCGCTTGACAGATAAACAGGTAATCAATCTGATCATAATACACGAACATTTAGACAAAAAAAGATAGATAGATAGATAGATAGATAGATAGATAGATAGATAGATAGATAGAGCGATATATATATACATATATATATACAATGAAATAGAAAGATAGATTAGTATTGACCTCATGAGATAGCTAGTGAGCGAGAGATCGATAGAGATACAAAAAGAAAAGAATATATATATATATATATATATATATATATATATAGATATAGAGAGAGAGAGATAGATAGATAGATAGATAGATATAGATAGATAGATAGATATATACAATGAAATAGATTAGTATTGGCATCATGAGATAGCTAGTGAGCGAGAGATCGACAGAGATATAAAAAGAAAGAATATATATATATATATATATATATATATATATATATAGAGAGAGAGAGAGAGAGAGAGAGAGATAGATAGATAGATAGATAGATAGATAGATAGATAGATAGATAGAAAGAAAATGGATATATAGATTAATTATAAGGAATGTACTTTTACAGACTCAAGGTTCGAATATCGATATGAATTTGTAGATGCTAACGATATTCAACGATGTACTATCAGGTAAAAGAAAAGCGTGACTTACTAAAAGTTGCTTAGATGTGGCACAAGGCCAAAAATTTGAAGCACCGAGTGAAGAACAAACTTTGTCGTAATTGAACTGGCGAGACAAGTTTTGCTAACCATTACACGACGTCAAAGTGCCCGGTTTTATTTACCAAATGTACCTTAGATTGGACCCAACTCGGCAAGTAAGGAGCATCATGAAAAGGTCGAATTCACTACCAGTTGTAATTGATCTAGCGTGACATCCTTGCAAACAATTGCACGACGTCAATGTGCTTATTAAAGAATTACCCAGCGTAGAGTAAAGGTGGCACAAGGTCAAAGTACTACGCACCCAGTGAGGCGGGAACTCATTTCTTACCATGTGTCGTGGCATTTCAGGACGTAAGCAATCATGGCTCTCCACATCCTTCTATCCTTTGCAGCTCCCAACAAGTTCTTTCCCACTTTCTGCCACCTTTCCCTCTATTCGACACGTGAGTATCAAATTCTCCAGGCTCTCCTTCCTCATTATGTATCCTAGGAACTTCAGCTGCCTTGTTTGCATCCTTTCTAAGACCTCATCGTTGCTCACGCGCTCGATCCACGATATCGTTTATATCCTTCTGTAGAATCACATCTCTGTCGCCTCGTGTCTTTTCCTCATCTTTGAGGAAATCGTACAACATTCGCTTCCGTAAAGAACAGGTGTTATGTAACAGCTTAGTGTTCTTTTCTTCTTTACCAAAGAAATCCTCCTGATCTAGCAATACAAGCTTACAAGCCTTTTCATCTAATTGAAGAGCCGATGTTGGACTTTTTTCAGCGATTTATAGCTTAGATGTGGCCCACGTCTAAAAGTTTGAAACACCTATTGTGGATCGAACTCACGACACGTAAACTGATCTAGCGAGACAGACAAACTATAGATTGCACCACATCGAAATGCTGCATAAAAGCTATATTTTTTTACGTTAAGATTTATTTTTTTAGGTTGAAATTTATCCAGCTCAAGGTCACACACTGTGTACTCATGTAATCTTAGAATTTAAACCATCTGCAGACTTATTAATCTTCAAGACTTTTTACAGTAAGCAAGTAAAATATTTTGGCTGGTGCCAATAACCGTTTACCAAGTATAGAATTACTCAAAAGAGACAAATCGATAAGGGAAATATGCGTATTATATAAGAGTTTGTTTTTGAAGAGATATATGTGCTAAGTTTGGATCAATATCAACATATTTTCTTTTGAAATTGTAGAACTGGAGAGAAAAAATGTTTTGAGAAAAAGACTGTTCTTTTACTGAATTCTAATGATTGCTTCGTGCTGTGGAGATCCTAAAATATCAGGAAAAAAAGTTGTATATGTTGGTTCGCTTTATGGATGTTTTGCAAATGAATGTTCGATTGACTGTTAAGAGCTCAAGTGTGGGGTGAAATTTGCGTGTTTGTAGCACATTTTTAGATGTTTTAAAAGATTTTTTTTTTTTTTTTTTTGGCAATAAATAACTCACAGGAATTGGTCGATTGAAAAGCGAATGATGTTCCGCTGCCGTTTCTGCTGCCAAAAGAAGAATGTGAGGGTAAAAAAAAAAAAAAAAAGGATAAAAAAAAAAAAGAAAAAAACGGAAGAAAAAATACATGCAAATTGAGAGATTTTACACACTTTCAAAGACATTTCTTGATTTTTAGTTTCACTGTCAGGCGATCAATGAGTTGTTTATTTCTATTTACACATCTACCCATTTGAAATATCTGGAGCATTTTCCTTGTTTCCAATACACGCACACAGACACACGCACACACACACAAACACACACACAAACACACACAAACACACACACACACACACACAAACACACACACACACACACACACATATATATATATATATATATATATATATATATATATATAATTTGATTTTATTACTTTATTTTACGGCATATCAACATAAATGGGTTATTTAATGCCGACAAAATTTGTATTGCTGGTAATATTTTCTTTTTCCAAAAATGTATTGTTGGTAATATTTTTTCCTTCAAATTCTATTTCTGGTAATATTTTTTTTTTCAAAAAAATTATAGCTGGTAATATTTTTTTTTTTTTTTTCCAAAATGTATTGCTGGTAATAATGTACTGCTGGTAATAATTTATTTCTTGACAAATTTATTACTGGTAATAATTTTTACAATGTACTTTTGGTATTGAAACCTATTTTTACACTTCCATAGTGATTTGAAGCCAGTTTGGGGGTTAACTATTTGCCCATAACTGGAACCCTACCAGGTGCTACCATTCCGGTCATGGTGGACATTGAAACACCAGCAATTAAGAGGTGGTTCCACGCTCCTGAAACCCCACTGATCATAGGCCTTGCAGTCGGACGTAGTTTATCGATTTACCCATGACGCGGATATCCCAAAATATGTTCACTTTTATATTTACATAGGCTCTATATCTGATATTGAGCACTTTATGCCATAAATAATGGTCACCTTAAAACTATATTTCTTCATATATATATATATATATATATATATTGTGTGTATTTAGGCAGCATATTTTCATTTATACACGTTTCATTAAATAATAAAGACAAGTGTTGTCTATTTATTTTATGCAAAATTTCTTCGTAACATCTGATAAGTTTGTATATTGTTTAATATGTTTGTGATTTACATCTTTGATAATGGCTTAAGTAAGCCGAAAGCTTAGATTATATTAAAAAAATATGGATCAATATTGTGAATTTCTTTCTTCGTTTAATGATAATGTTATCAAACTTATCAGATGTTACGAACAAATTTTTACATAAAATAGACAACACTTGTCTATATTATTTAATGAAACGTATAAAATATATATATATATATATATATATATATATATATATATATATATATATATATATATATATAGTGTTATTAGTATGCACAGTTAAAATTCTGACCTGACCGAGTCTGCTACATGTAATTTCCATTGCAAATATAGTTCACCTAGCCTGGCTCTCTAACTTGACTGAAGCCGGTCAAGGAGAATCATAATGTATATTTCAGATGATTACAAGTACTTGCAATGCAACTGTTGCACTATAAATTCCACGATGCGGTGAATGCTACTAGAGACTTTGTTTAAGGCATATCATAGGTTTAGCATTCAGAGAAGTTATTCTCCCAGACTTCTTACCACCCACGTCTGAAAAGCACAGGGTTCCTTGTTTTTTTACCCATAACAAAAAAATAAGTGATATAAACTTGTCCGGAATTCGAAATCGGCTCTCTGATTTTATATTCCGATCATAGATCTACATAAATGCTCAGATTAATAATTAAGATATATATATATATATATATATATATATATATATATATATATATATATATATATATATATATATATATTTTAAAAAATGTGATTCCAACGCTACATAAGAGTTCTCATGTTTCAAAACAAGAGCCGAAAACTTCAATGTAATTATTTGAATTATATTTATGCTCTACTTTTGTATCGAGAACTATTTTTTAAAAATAATGACAAAAATACTAAAGAACTTTGGATTATTTACCTAACAAGTTCCTTCCTATTTTCTATATATTTTAGACACACACACACACATATATATATATATATATATATATATATATATATATATATATATATATATATATATATGTTTAAATTCCCATAGCACGCAAGGTAAACACAAAATTGTGTCAAAAACATATTATGGTTTACCCCCGCCATATAATTTAACCGTTACAACTAAAATTGGAAAAATATGTTTTTTTAAAATTATCAATAAATAATTTCCCTCCCAACAAACGTATTTACATGATTTTTAAAAGAAATTATGTTAAATTAAGTTACAGTTGTATGCCGAACATAGCTAACTTAATTAATGAATATCACAGGAAAAAAATATAGGCAAACCACACATCAACTCCCCTAAATGTAACTGTAGAAATAAGGATGCCTGCCTACTTATGGGTATGTGCCAACAACAATGTGTGGTTTGTAAAGTTGAAATACGCAGAAATATACCTAATAGTAGTAATAAAATTATTAAATTTTGCATAGGATTCACCCAAAAATAATTATCCCTGTTCTACTGAGCGTTTTGTGCAGTTTACGTTTTAGCTTTATTACACGCTTTGGGTTTTTTCTTTGGACTAAAAACCTAAGGCACTGGACGATTTATTTCGCCCTGTTCGGATGTTTCTAGTTCTTTCTTTTTTTTCCCTCGGGTACCAATTTGCTTTGATAGACTTATAAGTTGTGCTATCCTAGGTTTTTCGCAACCGATTATTACTAGTAGTTATATATATATATATATATATATATATATATATATATATATATATATATTTGGTCGATTGATGTGAGTTTGTGACCCTGGGTTTCACGCTTTTGCGATCGTCAGACAAACTGATTAATTTTTTTAAAAAATTGGGTTTATGTAGATTGCGTCTATTGGTATCATTATGGGAGTGGGGGTTCGTCGTTGTGATGTCATCGTGCTAATGCAAACATAGATGAATGTCCGTACATCAGATGAGGTACGCAAACACATATACACACTTGTTCGTCCGTCGGGACTCATACATATATAAACATATGTGGACAGTTTCGGATTTGACATATGTATGTATATGGGTGGTCTATACATACGCATTTGTATGTTAAAATTCAAAGATTGGAAGTGTAGGGAAAATTTCTTGAATGTCTCGTGAATGTATACATGTTAAAAATCGGAGCATTTTTTCTATTTTTCCACTGAATAATATTTCCTCGCATGTATGTATATACGTGTGGTCGGGTCTGTGTAAAATTATGATAGGTAAAAATTATTATTATTTTAATATGTTAGCTCTATCTCTGATATTAAGCGCTTTCTAATAAGTACCGCGCATATAATATATAAATAATTAGATACTTACATAAAATAGTTCA